TTACTGTGCCAGAACTGTCAGGAATCCTCAAACTATATATGTGCTGGAATACATTGAAGGAATCACTTCACAGACTGAGCAGTCGTGGGAGCAAATGAAGGAGCAATTACTCCACCTCCAAAATAAAGAGAGTGATTTGACTGCTTTAACTTACACTTGCTTAACCTTCTTGGCTGAAGAGTAACACATAGCACAATGTAGAAGTGCCCTCTAACGTTGATATAGGGGCAAAAGAAAAAAAAAAAAAAGGTTGGCTGAGAGTAGGGAAAACCTGGCCCCTGGTACTCGCAGGTGTATTTTTCTTGGGAGGCAAGTTCGCTAGAGAAACAAAAGATTTGGTTCGTTTGGCTTGGCAAGGCAAGAATGCAATCCTAGGGGAAGACTTTATTTAGAAACTTTATTTTTCCCCTGTTAACTTGAATAGTTTATGGAGGGGGAAAAAAAGAACTATAAATGGTTCATAAGTTCGCAATTATTTTTGTTTTGGTTTTAAAAACAAAAATACACTATCCCCACCCAGGTAGATCTTGCTATAGATTAATTTCACTTTTAATTGGCTACTATTCAGCTCCCCACAAAGCTGCAGCTTAGGAGGAGACATGCAATTCTAAGGCATGTGAGGATACAGAGGGCATTCTCCTTCCTCAGTTATCTCAGCTCTCTGCTGAATCATCGATGGTCCTCTCCTTTCTCGGGCCTTCTCTTTAGTCTGCAAGCATGCCAGTCTCTGCTTTTAAATGCACTCTTTCCAATAATCCCCAAATCACAGATTCCTGCCTTTCCCTACCCTCCCCCTTCAGTCTTTAATATATTCACTGCAATGAAACTTAATTTGCTGGGAATTCACCAGCAATTACTAAATTCCAAAGAATTTGAGTTCTTTCTTGTATCTATTTTATATGATTTCTCTGAGTAATTTCATACTGTTGATCACACCTTCTTTCTTGAAACTATTTTCCCCTCAGCACTTTTGCTTCTATCAAGATGACTCCTTCTCTTCCATCTCCTTTGCTGACTTCCCTGCCACAGCTGCAGAGAACATTCTTCCCCCCCTTTGGGCTCTTGCTGGGTGATCTTATCCACATCCATGACTTCAGTTTGCCCTTAAATTCCAGTGACCACCAAAGCAATATTCCCAGTCCCCTTAGCTCTCCTAGGCCCCAGTCCCATATTTCTACTTGCCTAGAAGACAGGTCATCTTGACTGCCCCACAGAAACCTCCAATTCAACACGTTTAAAACTGAATTCTCTACCTTCTCTTATAACCTTGCTTCCTTCCTATATGCCAGAGCAATAAATGATGCTACTCAGTTGCTTAAACTAGAAATCTTTGGGTTATTTATGAATATTTTTAATCTCCAACATTCCGATTCAACCAGTCACCAATTCCTATTAATTATACCTCATCAATTTATCTTAAATTCTTCCTTGTTTCTTTATCTGTTCTGCCACCACCTTCACGCAAGCTCTAATTATTTCTTATCTGAGATGACTACATTGAACTGGTCTTTTTCTATCACTGTCTATTCTTTCTCTAATCCATTCTTTGTTGTGTATAAGAGTTAACCCTTTGAGACACAATTTTTTTTCATGTTTCTCTTCTACAATTAAGCACACAAATAAAAAACAGACAGCAGATCCTTACTGCCTAAGACATAGAGTCCAACATTTGTAATCCAGGGAAGACAGCAGAAAATTCCCTTTACATCCTGGTCCTCACCTCTGCTGTCACTCCATTATACCGTTCTCAGTTTATATCCCCAGGCACTCTGTACCTTAGCCACACATTTACCATATTACCTTAAAGTCATTCCTGTGCTTTTGATGTGGAAAATGTCGAGCGCTGGGATGTGGCTGCTTGCCGCCTCCCCATAGTTCTGCATCTCTGCGGGCCAGCGCTGCGCATGGCCAGTTGGAGAGCACGCTGCTGGGGCTGGGCCCCACCGCAGATAGGCGCAAGGGACCCCCCATGCTGCTGGGACCCTGCGTACTGCTGCCTGTTTCCAGCCACGCTGCTTGCGTGATCCTGATTGGGTAATTTTTGAATTCCACCATTTTTGATTGGATGTTAAAGCTTGTTATTGATTGGATGTTAAAGCTTGTTATTGATTGGATGTTAAAGTTAGTTATTGATTGGATGTCAAAGCTTGTTGTTGATTGGATGTTAAAGCTTGTTGTTGATTGGATGTTAAAGCTTGTTGCTGATTGGATGTTAAAGCTTGTTGTTGATTGGATGTTAAAGCTTGTTGTTGATTGGATGTTAAAGCTTATTGCTGATTGGATGTTAAAGCTTGTTGTTGATTGGATGTTAAAGCTTGTTGTTGATTGGATGCTAAAGCTTATTGCTGATTGGATGTTAAAGCTTGTTGTTGATTGGATGCTAAAGCTTGTAGTTGATTGGACGCTTCTTGAGCCCTACCAAGGGTATAAAAGCAGGGGCAGAAGGGCAGGGAGGGAGAACGTCGCAAGACACAAAGAGAGCTGTAACACTAGGTGTGCTGAGCCTGCTGTAGAAGAATAAAGGCTGTTCTCCGACTCTTCCTGTGCCCCTCGGTTCTTTCCCTGGTCAAATGAATAAGAGCTGTACACATTGCCCCAACACTTTCAAGCCCTTCCCTTCCCCAGAAAAGGAACCGTTTTCCCCTAGTAAAACTGCTCATCTCTCACAGTGTAACTCACCAGTTGGCTCCTCTATGAAATATAATAATATGGACACCTCAAAGCTGAACTGGTAGCAGCTTCCTCTGAATTTCCATTATTTCCTATGCTAACATTACCAATCTTTGCCATATGGCTATTTCATTAAATTGTTTAGATATAAATCTCCCGGCTAAAATCATTAAATCCTTGAAATGAGGGAATGTGTCTGGTGTTTTATACCCCTAGCATTTATCACAATGTCTGCCATCTGGGTGTCCGTGAGTCTGTGGAATGAATGAATGAATGAATACATGCTATCAAGTTGCAACACTTACAATCTTCGGTTAAGTTTATAAAAAAAATAAACAACAAAACTTTTCTAGTGTTCCAGTTCATAAGTCTTCACTCTATCCCAGTTGAAACGGTCTTGTCCAGTGGCTTTTTCTTTCTTTGATTATGGAAATGACTATTTTGTGGTACTGTTATTTAATCTATTTCTTTGGCTTTATTTAGATAATGGACCAGATCTCTGCCTTCTACAATTCCAGGAAAGTATAACAGAAGTTAATATTATATACATAAAAAGAGATAATTAGTTGAGAATGTTCCAAGAAAGGATGGAATTAAGCTCCCCCTCACCCCTTATTGTTTGGTATATATTTCCCATAGGGGTTGCTCTACAAGATTGAACCTTTTCTACCTGTCACGCAAATGGCATCTGTCACTTATTATCAGGGGTAGAAGTTCGAGCACGTCTACTCACTGCATCTTGGTACCAGAGTCACCAAGGAAAACACAGTGCAGTCATGCACTGGATGGGACAATGATTTGCTCACATAGTAGAGAGACAGACCAAGATCGGCTGCAGGGTTGGGTCTTCCATGGCTAGTGGGTTTCTCCTGGCAGCTGACACAGGGCAACTGGCCTGCACACACTCTTGTGCACTGTGGCCCCCATGTCCTGCCTCTAGGAAACAGATATGCTAGGAGGGGTGGCCAGGGGACATAGGACACACACAATTAAGTAGAACAAAGGAGTATACATTGCATCTGTAACAGGGGAAGATATCCTCACACAAGGCGAAAAATTCAGCATAGATTGTGACGACTCTTGGTAAGGAAGGGTCTTAGGCCCAAGGTCCATATTTATGTAGCCAGAGGGATCAAAAGACTGCATGGATGGCATCACCTTTCTCAACGCTGTCCACCTTCCATTCTTTTCACACACCCATTTTCCATAGAGCATATTTCTTTTCCTCACCTACTTCAACTCTTCCCAAGTTTATGAGCTTAATGAATGAAGCCACTTATTAATCATTCATTTTATTAGTATTCCCAAAGCCTACTTTTATTTTTTTTTATTTTTTTTTCATCTATTGCGTTTAGGGGAAGCAAAGCCTACTTTTATATATGATTTTTTTTCCTATTTGTAATCATAGGGTTACCATTCAATATACAAAATAAATTGGGGAGAGGAGCATTTCCTTTATTCCATTATTTTTTTCCTTTTTCCTCAAACCCTATCAACAAAATCTCATATCACTGATAAAGCAGCTACATAGCTTACAGATGCTACTGGATTCCATTTGGGTCTAAATTGCAGAGCTGAGAAAGTAATTTAAAAGACCCAGAACTGAATTATTGATTGGCCTTCAATAGCATTTTTAAATGGTCCCGGGAATTTAAAAAAAAAAATCTAACATACCTAATTAACCTATAAAAAATGGTAAAGTGAGAGGGCAAGGGAATCTCAAGCGACTAATGTATAAATTTAGAGAACAAACCACAAAGGATGAAAGGTCAAGTTAAAATACGTTATCAAAAAATAATTTATGTTTTTAAGCAAGAGTTTGAGCATTGTTTGTTTCTTGGCAGAAAGTGTTATCCAGCCAGGGAATGTAAGGCATGGTATCTCTAAAAGAAGTATCCAGATGTCCTAAGCAAAAGAAAAAAATGATGGTAACCAGGAGACATATTTTTTTTTGTGCCAACCAAGAAAAACAGCAGAATTCAACAGAAGAGTGAGCTAGGCTGCAGTCTTTCCCAGGTGCTTCGCTGAGAGAGGGGGATACACACAGGTGAGTGTATAATTCTACCCGCCCACCCCCACAGCCTGAGCTAAACCCCTTTCCTCATTTATCCAATTCGGACCACCCCCCCATTGGTTTTCCTTTCCTCCTCCACCTCCTCCTCCTGTTTAAATCTAGAGAATTTTCTCCAGCTTCTGCACTACCTCCAAATGGGTTCACTTAAGTTCTTTTTTCCTGCAGACATAAAAACATTCTCATCTCTATAATTACCCTTGCCAACACTACATCCCATCCTACAGGGAACAAAAATATGGAAAAGGACGCAGGGACAAACTCACTGAAAATGACCGATGAAAAGGAAACACATATTTTATCAACAGTCCATTTTGCTATTAGAAAAAGTCAAAACAAATAAGATTGTATTTTTTTATCAACGGTGTTTGCTTTGCTTCCCAAACAGCCCATGGAGACAAGGCAAGTAGAGAGTTACTGAATCTTACTGATCAGGAGTGCAGAAGTCTGGGCATTAAAAGGCGTGACCTGAGGCAGTTGCACTGTCGGGACAGTGAGCATTGAAACTGCAACCTATGGCTTTAGTTGCCTTCTTCGTTACCTCTGGAGATCCTTGTCTGCAGAAGGGCCTCCGGCTGTGTTTCCATGAAGCTGATTTCACGCTAGCATAATTCATACGCATCTTGCCCTTGGGAAGTAGGCAGGGATGGATGTGCAAGGATCATGAACACTTATGCTGGAGGAGGGAGTGAAAGTGGTGATCTGGCTCCTCAGTGTAGGTGTGTGGAAGGGGCTCCTGCCCCAGAAGGGCATCGTGGTGGTTTTCAGGGACATTCAGCTCACCAGGACATCTTCCCCAGGACTGTCCTGATGCATTCCCTACCTTCTTTCTGTACTCCCTTTCCACCTGTTATGCTTCTTCACTCCCGTCCCCTGGCACCTGTCCCTTTTGGCTGCCCAGAGTTCCCAGCAGAGCCCAGAGTAGACCTGCCTGCCCACTCCTCCTCAGTGTCACAAACCTCAAAAACGAAGCACAGCAGAACAAACACACAGAGACAATAATCACATTATCAAAAAATCCTGTCCTTGACAATTATGAAGATAACAGCTCATTAAAAGCTATTTCCATGAGAGGATAAGCAATAACAGTTATAAGACGCGTTGAATTCTCATTATGTGCCATGGGCTTTTTCAGCATTTTATACAGTGTTTCATTGAATCCTTAACCCAAACCCTCTGGGGTAACTATTTTAATTATACCCATTTTACAGGTCAGGAAATTGAGGCTCAAGAGGGTAATATGACCCACGTTCCATGGGCTCCTGCAGTTTGAAGGGCCAGGATTCAAACCCAGTGTCTGTTACCTGAGGATATGAATTTCTCACTGTGTTATAAGTTGTCTCAACTCTGTTTTACCAGCCATACTTCCAGTATTTGGAACAATACCATGCCTTCTGTTTTGGTTAGGACTCATTGTTTGGAAAATAGAAACAAACAATTTTAGAGTTAGAGGGGAATAATAGCATATAGAGATGCCTTGCAGTAGCCATTTGGAATAAAAAAAAAAAAATGCACTGGGTGGGACCCAGGAGGAGTAAGAACCAGAGACTGAAGAACTGGGGCTTCTCTCTACTCCTCAACTTTTTTTTTCTTGCGTGTTAGCTTCTTCATGTCCATGTTCCGCAGACATGTTTCCTCTGCATGCCAGTCCATTTGGTGGTGTCCAGACTTGTTTACCATGCCTGGGTAACAGGAGGGAGAAACCGTAACTGAATGCAGAATCTTACCATTTTAATTCAGAACTCCTAGAGAAGAGATTCTCATTGGCTCAACGTGGGTCATGGACCCATGTCTCAGACCAGTCAACTCCACCTAAGGGGCCAGAGCCGTGCCCTGCAAATAGATGCTCTCAGGGCTTGCGGCCATGACATATGTTTCTCTTGGAGATGATTAGGATATCTACCCCATACCTCTGATAGAAATGTATCATACCTTCAGTAAAAGTTGAGTAAACAGCTAGATGATAATGAGTCATTCAGATCCTAAGAAGCTCAAAATGCTTTGCCTGTGGAATCTGAATGTTTCCAACTAAGGAACAGAGAAAGCAGTAACTTTTATGTTTGTTCTCTTATCTTACAGCACAAGACAAGTTTAGCCAAAACTCATAAAGAAGCCATTTCTCCTCTTATACACACCCCTGAATTCTTGAGTCAACCCTTGAAAACGTAATGACAGTTTTAAAATATCTGTACATTTCAATTCATCATTATAAGCAAAGGCATTGAAAACTCTCATCATTCAAATATGCATGACTCAGGCTAATAAATGCTTACTTTTTTGAACAAAGAAGAAAAGAGCCTAAATGAATGGTCCATTAGCATGTTTTAAAAATCCAAATGATACCATAAATATATTTTCCCAAATGTATATTCTGTAAAACACTTCAGTTAGATGAAAAATTCTGTATACTACATAGCCCTCCTCGATGCTGACAAAGCACGTCAGTATATTAAAGGTTCTGAGAAGTCCTTCAATAATGAGACTTATTATTACCTTTGTTTAACATAGCAATTGCCTAACTGATGTAATGAAGTAATATCTCATTAATAAGAATCTCATAGTAGTATGATAAACAGTTTGGAAAAGGCTATGGAAAAGGCTGTGAAATAATTCCATACATGCATGGAAAGGTAGATTTCTTGTTATTAAATATAACCTTTTAAAAAATCCTATTTTCTTGAACAGCATTTGACCAGAATTCCAGAGAGATCAGTTAAGGTAAAGATGACGATCTCTATTTTTAAAGATAAAGCTATCAGGCCGGGAAAGTAAATAAATTCCTGAAGACCATATTGCACAACAAATCTAAAACTCAGGTCTTTAATGCTTAATTCGGTGCCCTTTCTACTAGTCAACACATGCAAGAACTTGTTTGAGTTGTACTAAAAGAAAATTAGCCAATCCAAGTGGTCTTCTTTAACTTCTTGCACAGAACTAAGCTGTAGATCTTATGAAACAGAGAGCCAACCCTTTGGAGGTCTGTTTCTGCAGAAGCTGTGATTACTCAAAAATATAAAGCCAGCAGCTGACCAGGCTCCCAACAATGTTTCGGAAACTGAGATAATTTTTTTTTTTTAAATAGAAGGTTTAAATTTGGTTTTTCTTGTTTTTTTTTTTTTGTTTTTTTTTTTCCTATAGAAGAAATATTAGGCAATGAGAGTTTCCCTGCTCAGTCCCATCTCATTCTGCAGGAAATCCATCCCCATAATGTTTAAGCTGGGTATTCCAGAGAATTCCCACAAATACACTTGGCACTTCATCATTTGTACCCATTTCTTCCCCACTAAGTAAAAGTGACAATGATAGGCTACCAAATGTCAAGAAAAGGCCTATTTGCTGATGTTCACGTGGCTGATACCTGCGTTGATGGTGTCAGTGTCTAAAACCAAGTGAGGTGATGTTCGCACCCAGGTGTTGACCCAACACATATCACCATGGCCACTGTGGGCTATCCACTGCTCTAGAGGCTGCCAAAGCCAGTGCTGCTGACAACCCTGCCACCTTCACCTTGCATTCTCAAGGTCCTACAGAGAGGGTGGAGCAACAGAAAGTTTTAAGCATTATTTGCTCTTTGGTACAGCCCCTTCACCCAGTGACTCAAATGGAAGACAACAGTGACAAGGCCATCATCCATGTTCTCCCTCACAGACCTGATTCATGCAACTGGATCTCTTTTATCCTTGGAATGAGGTCTTTCCTGAGTGGCTTCTCAGTTCTCTGTGGTCTTTTCCCATCATTTATTTAATTTTCTCAGACACAGACTAAAATCCTAGGAGGGACACAGTAGAGGATCTGTCTAGAGCCCTGAATCGAATAGCCTACACCCAGCTGTTCCTATCCAAAGTAAGAGGAGTCTCTTCTTCACTGCATGCTGTTAAGCAGTGTAAGGCCATTATGGGTTGGGCAAACCTAGCTGCAGTGAGAGTATCATTTTCCTAAATAAACATCAGTGTTAAAAGTAAGAGCCTCCATGAAGTGGTGAAAAAGCCCTGGCCTGGGAAGCAAGACATCTGGACTATGTGTCTTATTAGTTGTTTGGCTGTACTTGAGTCCTTTAATCTCCCTGGACTTCAGTTTCCTAATTTGTAAAACCCACTGCTCACTCTGGTCATTAACATTCTCTCTAGCCCTAACATTCTATACTTGAATACATGACCCTACGTTATCCTTTTTTCACAAAGGATCTTAATGCATCTATTTGCTTCTTTTCTTTCTTTTTTCCTAAAATATTAAGGGAGTACAAATGTTTTTGTTGCATGAATACCTTTTTTGTGAGACAAGAGTCCCACTCTGTTGCCCGGGCTAGAGTGCCCTGGCGTCAGCCTAGCTCACAGCAACCTCAAACTCCTGGGCTCAGCCTCCCTAGTAGCTGGAACTACAGGCATGCGCCACCATGCCCGGCTAATTTTTTCTATATATTTTTAGTTGGCCAATTAATTTCTTTCTATTTTTAGTAGAGACAGGGTCTCACTCTTGCTCAGGCTGGTTTCGAACTCCTGACCTTGAGCAATCCGCCAACCTCAGCCTCCCAGAGTGCTAGGATTACAGGCATGAGCCACCGTGCCCGGCCAACATGTATACATACCTTTTACAATGCTTAAGTCAGGTATTTTAGTGTGCCCATCACCAGAATAGTGCTCATTGCACCTCACAGGTAGATTTTTACCCCTCTCCGCCTCCCGCTCCTTCTTGATTTCCAGTGACCTTTACATGGCTTTGCTACCATGTGTGATCATCAATTAGCTCCCAATTATTAGAGAGCACATGTGGTATTTGTTTTTCCATTCCTGAGATACTTCACTTAGGATAATAGTCTCCAGTTCCATTCAAGTTACTTCAAAAGACATTATTGCATTCCTTTTTATGTCTGAGTAGTACTCCATGGTGTGTGTGTGTGTGTGTGTGTGTGTATATATATATATATATATATATATATATATCACATTTTCTTAATTTATTTTCTTTTTGATAAAATGACTTCACAACCCCATTAAAAATTGGGCAAAAGACATGAACAGAAATTTTTCAAAAGAAGATAGACAAATAGCCAGCACACATATAAAGAAATGCCCAACATCACCAATTATCAGGGAGATGCAAATTAAAACCACAATGAGATATTACCTTATCCTGGCCAGAATGGCCATTCTTATAAAAAACAATAGATCCTGGGATGGATGCAGAGAGAAAGGAATGCTTATACACTGTTGGTGGGACTCTATTGAAACCTCTAAGGAAAACAGTATGGAGGTTCCTCATAGAAATAAATGTAGACCTACCATTCAACCCAACAATCCCATTGCCGGGTGTCTACCTGAAGGAAAAGAAGTCATCCTATTTGCTTCTTTAAATAAAACATGTATTATTACTGTTCTATTTGAGTGACTTAAAATATTATTCACCTTATTTTATAGATAATCAAATTGAATCTCAAAAGTATTAAAGTTATTAAAGTCTAAAAGCATACATAGAATGCTAACATAAGGGTTCCATTCAGAAAAAAAAAAATGAATTAGGCACATTTTCAGCTGATATTTTTTCTTTTCCACATATTTATTAGTGATTCTTGGTTGTCCTTGCCTTGCACAACCAAGATGGGTCAATATTTTGACAGTGGTAGCCTTTGCACTTTGTCCTCCTTTCCAACCTCTTGACCAGCTGCCTGATTCGGACCTTCTTTATCTTGTTCCTTAAATAGTTCATTGCTTAAGTAGCTTCTTAAATGGTATCTCCTCTCCTAACCTTTTAGCCCCACCCAATACATCCTCCATGGTACTGGCAGATTATTTTACAGAGTATAGACCTGATTATGTCCCCACCATTTATAAACCTCCAGAGATTCTCTAAGGACACAGAATTATATCCAAACTCTTTAATCTGACATTTAAAACTCTCACAATCTGGCTTCAACACACTTGTCAATTTTTATTTTTATAATCATCTTAGGCAAGTGGATTTACTTTCAATTCCTCCAAACACTTTTGAATACTGAGTCCTTACTTAACCTTATTATTCTTTGGCTCACGCTGCATGTAGCCTTAATCTGAGATAACTTTGCCTCCTACCCCGTAGATCCAAATCTTACCTGTCTTCAAAAGCTGAGCTCTGATGAGACCTTTCCTATTAAGCATTTCTCTATACCATCCATCTACCCCTTTATAAGTATGTTTACGTTGTTGTTCTTATAAATGTTGTACTTTTACATTTATTTGGTCATCTCTTCTTCCTCTTAACCATAAGCTCCAAAAGGGAAGGAAAATAGATGTATTTACTTTTGCCTATCATTAGGTTCCCAGGGTCTAGCACACTCTAGATGTTTAGGAGGTAATTATCAGACAGTTATTTGAATGTGCATCTCTGAAGACTCATCATTGTCTAACTTATAGGCATAGATATTTATACCCATGCCTTGTCTTCCAAAATAATTAACTCCTTGAAAACAGTGTCTACATCTGCTTTCATTTAGGGTCCCTCAAAGAAAAATGTCTTGCATGTTGGAAATATTCACTGGGAGTTGTTTAACTAACAAAGCAATTTTGGAAAAAGACCGAATTTTGGAGTTGTCTAGCCGTCAAATCTTGGCTTTGTAAATTTGGGTGAAAAATGTTTAAGAATGTTTTCTAATTAACCTAAGTATTTTATGTTTCATAACCTACAAAGAGTTTTCATAGATATACCTCAGTTGATGTTGAACAATGTCAGATAGTATTATGATTCTCAATTTATGGATAAGAAAACAAAGGTAAAGATAGGGCAATTGAGTCTTAAAAAGGTGAATGGCCACTCAGCTATTATCTGAGGAATATGGATTCCAATTAAAGTTTCTGGAGTCCCAAGTCTATGCCTTTTCCATTCTTGCATTAACATACCAAGAGCATATAGATTGAGATTAGTGGATCTGTGCCTTTGTATCACAAAATTCTTTCTAGAATTCAGGCCTCTTTAGTCCTTAATCTACTGATCTGACCCCCGAGGACACTAGAATGAGCTTAATTGGAGTTTCTGGTTTCAGGATAGAAAAGGTAGGAGAACACATGTGGTAAGTCACAGAGGAAGAATAGAATAGGCCCATTTTCATATTTGGCATGAGGCAATTGCAGAAAAAGTTCAAAGAATTTCTTTCCCTCTCTCTGATGCTTTCTTCACTGAATAGGTACAAAATTAAAGCTCATCACTTTTATCTAAATCAGAGCCCCTTCTGGGTGTTTCTGTTTGTTTGTTTATTTATCTTTTGTCAAATCGCTTGATCTCTACATTGAAGCTCAAATCCAAATCAGGAGAAAAACAGCTCTTATTTATTATGCAGTTTGCTCTGATGATGCTCTTCCCAGAAATGAAATGCTGTCCCTCTCAGACTTCCTTTCACAGGACGCTCTGATCTGGCTCCCCTTTGCAGCACGAGGCCAATTGTTTTGCCTGGCTTCGTCCATCAAATAGAAGGCTCAGCTGCCTTTTCTCACACTCAGAATCCAGCAGACCGTTTTCCTTGGTCATCAATAGAGGAGTGGAGAGTCTCTTCTCTTAATGGGCTGAGCTCCTGCCAAATTCCGAAGTGCTTTTGCCCTTCCTTAAAGAAGCTGAATATTTGCTCGGTACCCAAGACATCTGGATACCTTGTGTGAGTAACCCCCTCCTGAGGGTGGTGGGCTATTTGAAAGCAGATCATCCCAGTAAAAAAATAAAAAATAAAAATGTTTAGGCACTTTCAAACAATTTTGATATAACTTGGTAACTTAAACAAAACAAAAACCTTCCCAGTTGCGGTTTCTACTCAATAGCAGGTGAAACAATAAAAAATATTGAGCAAGCAAAATTAATCTGTATCCAGAGAATTTTAATAAATTTTAAAACAAATAAATCCACATAGATCCTCTGGGGTTTTGCCAGCAAGTGTTTAACAATCTGTTTTTAATAGCCAGGAAATATGCTACAACTGCAGGCATTGAAGAGTAATGAAGTACTTTGTGAAAAATAAATAAAAGCAATAATAATGCTGAACACAATTTCAAAAGGGAAAATTAAAAAAAAAAAGGCAGAAAACATTTTGGCTGAAACACAGGAATAGCAGAAGTTATTCTGGTTAAAAGCTATCAGCTACACTTGCCCTTTCATTCTCATGCTAGCAGTGGGACAGGTTTGTGACCTAGCCTTGTAACCTTTACTATTCATGAGCCAAACAGCTAAAGGTTAATCCAGATCTTATTAACAACTGTGTGAGAAGCATGAGATTTGGTATGTTTTTCCTTGTCCTTCTTTATAGCCCAGAAAATTTCCTCAAAACTTCAGAAATAAAAAGTAATTTTGTCAAAAGACACTTTTTTGGTGACCATTATTCCTATAGTTAGAGTAACACCTCATTTGTCTATCATCATTGAGGGAACACATGTTTCTCACAAATTAATTTTCCAATAAAAGGAAGTGAGTTTAGTGTTCAAAGGAGTCGATTTCACTTAGATATTTTTGCTGGAGCTCTTTCTAAAAGATATTACATATTGAACAGGATTTGACCTTTTTGGATGATTCAGAGTTATCATCAGAACCATCAATCACTATGAATAGCCACCAACTCCTTCCTCTCAGGCTGCAAACACACTGGAAGCTTTCAAAAGCTAAAAGAAATGTTGCTTTTTACCCTATCTTCCTTGAGTTTCTGTCTTAGCTCTTTTTTTTTTTTAAATACAGCTTTATTGGGATACAATTCACCCATTTAAAGTATAAATTCAATGACTTTTTTAGCATATTCACATATATGTGCAACCATCCTAGTCA